ACAAAACAACTCAAGGTGTAAGCCAAAAGCAGATGAGAATGCTAATACAGTGTCCAGGAAATACATTATTGATCAATCATTTGGTTCATTTTCTTTTCATCTGCCATATCTATGTAGATACTGTGTGCATGTAAACTATCAGGTACTTTTGTCCTGCACAAAATTTGTTTCTTCTTGTATCCAGTGCCTGCAAAATTTCTTTTCCTTAACACCCTGCCATGATCCCCTAACCACTACCCTGACTGATACGAATAAAAGCCATGAACTCTTAGACTTGTGACCTTTCGTTTCATAGAAAATAATGATCACCCCAGAACTCCTCTCCTGCAGAATTTTCTCTCTTGGTGTTTATTTTGTGCCCATGTATAGAAATATAAGATATGAGACAAACCTAATGTCCCAAGAAAGCAGGAAACAATACACAGAGCCCAAGGAGAGCTGCTGTCTCTCACTTGTAAATCCCGGAAAGCTGGGATTCAAGGCTGCAGTTAACAGCTTCTCCTGCAGGCGCCCTGTCCTTTGATCCCTTGCTTGGGATGTTATGGGCTAGCATTTGTGTGAACCTAGTGTTAGGCAAATGGTGGAAATCAATAGAGATAGTAGTTTATGTTCCCTTAAGTAATTATGCATGTTCCTTAGCCTGCCTTTAGCCCTCAGTAAATGTGAGATGCTTCTGACACTCTGGGATCACTTGGAGAGACTAATCTCAGTGAGACCTCAGAAGCTGTATTCATCAGGTCTTCTCTTCATTTCTTTTGGCACTGACCTACAACACACAACACCCATGTGCCATTTTGCACCTCCATGGAAGTTTTGGTAACCTAACTGCTTTATGCAGCTGCTACATGAAGTTTCCATCATTGTCAATACACACAGGAATTGAGGGAAGGTGAATGAAATCATACGAGATGCAAGTGGTTGCTATTAAAGCAATTCTATCAGTAACCCACACTTAAGGCTTGAGAAGGTTAAATCATCCAAGTATATGCACTAAACTTCCAGAGCTGTGTATTGAAAACAAAACAAACACGCAAACAAACAATCAGAAAACTGGAGCACCTAGTCAGGCTACTTTAAAGAAATTCTGAACTTTTCTCCTAAGTTCTGTGTAACGCACATTCATTATCTCAAATGTTCTGCTATAAGAGAGCAAAGAAATCAAATATAAACATTAGAAGAAGCAACTTAGTGGTTGATGATACGCTGATTTCTGGCACTTATGACCTGGAAGGCCACAGATACTTTGGATGCTTCATGAGGCTCACACGGTTCTTCTTAGCCCTGAGAATCTTGGACTCAGAAGTGGAGCCTTTGATCAGCCTTGTGCCTCTCTATGCCCCAAGCTAAGCCCTAAATGGGGTGTTCTGCCTCCTCCATGTCAATTTGATGATTTATGGCAGCAGGAAACAAAAAAACTTGTGACCAAAATATAGACAGTTATCTGCTGAGTTTTGAATTGACTAACAAAACTTACAAGTTACATTTAAACTCTTGAGGAAGAATGATGAGTTTTAAGTTTTAACCAGTTTTATATTCATCATTAAAGTGAAAATAAACACCTGAATAGGTATGCTAGCAAAACTACATTTTTTTTTCAGTACCAGGCATTGAACTTAGAACCTTGTGCTTGCCAGGCAAGCACTTATTCCACTGAGCTATCTCCCTGGTCCAGCAAAACTACATTGAATGCACTAAAATAGTTCAACACTTTTTTCCCCTACACATTCTGTTCTGCAATAGCCTGATGATACAGGTTTTTTGCTCACCAGTTAGTATGTGGAAAACTTGTGCTGGTGCTAGGCCTGGAGCCCATGCTGGGCGTTCTGCACCTGGCTGAGGGCTTAGAGCACTAGATTAATTGCCTAGTGCCTGTCAGAAAGACCCTTGGAAATCCCTAGGCATGTCTTGGGCAACATCAAGGAATGGAGTTCACAGGATGAAGGTAAAAGATATGGGATACTCTGATAGGTACTGCCCATGCACACACTGACCGCATTTTCCCCCATTCTGAGAGGACACTGATTTCTTTTTTCTTTCAAACAGCAACAAGAGGGCTGGTGAGATGGCTCAGTGGTCTAAAGCACCCACTTAGAACAAGCTTAGCAAAGAACAGGGACCACGGTTCAATCCCCCAGCACCACATGCCAGCCAGCCCCACCCCCTGGTGGGCTGAGCTGCCCCCCCCACACACACACATAAATAAATAAAATTAAAAATAAAAAACCAAACAGCAACAAGAAAAATCAAGCTAAGCAGTTATAGGATTCCACAGCTTAACAGTCTAAGTAAGGTTGTATGTCCACTAAAACTAAATGTTGGAGGTTTCAAATGCCTATGTCCCAAGACAGGAAGGTACTGGCCCTGTAAGTTCCTGGGGAGCTGGGACTCTCCTGGCAGTGCCCACTCCCACATTCACCGCCCTCCCAGTGTTTCTGGCTGCCCTTTCTGTGCAGGATCTGCATCAGGGACTGTCCTGTCAGACGGTGTCACAAGTCTGCCTCGCTCTGGTGAGCCTACTTCCAGCACTGCTTCAGTTCTAGGGGAGTGGGCTGGGTTTGGCCCTGGTGATTTCAGCTCCCGAGAACGGGCTCTGTTTCTAACTTAACTGCCCAGAGCAGAGCTGGGAACACACCAAAATGTTTTCAAAATTAACTTTTAAGAAAGTTAAAATTAAAAATTTAAGTAAGGCCAAGAGAAACATAATTTAATTTCTTCATCTACTTTTCTGGTTGTTATTTATTTGTTCTTGTTGTACTGGGGATCAAGCTCAGACCTTGCCCTTGCTACACAGGCACTTATGCTGCTGAGATATCTCCCTGGCCCTAATTTCTTCATATAAACCTCGTTGTCTCGGGCAATGTTTCTGAAACATACAGTCCTGGAAGTAAACTCTACAAGTTACATGAACCAAAATAGCTCTACTTGCACAGAGCCCCAAAGCCTGTAAAATTCTGAAGAACAAATGGAATTAGGACTGCTAATGATCCAAGCTTTATTTCCTTAAAGAAGCAAAAGGAGGACTGGTGAGATAGCTCAGTGCTCTACAGCTCCTGCTTAGGTAAGCACTGAATCAGGCCCAGGGGACGAAGGTTCAATCCCAGGCACCACATATTGTGCCAGCCCCGCCCTCAGGGTGGGCTGAGCAGACCAAAAAAATCAAAAGGAAAACTATGGAGGAAAATAATATGTTTCAGAACTTCAGAGTATCTTTATAATTTGTCATAAATCATATTCAACATGCAGTTTAAAATCATTGAAGATATAAGATGGGTCATGATGTAAAACCAAGAGCAAAAGAATCAGGGAAGACAGGGGATAACCACAGACCTCAGGAAACAAAGTCATTCTATAACATTGCTAAAAATGTGACAATTTCAGCACATGCAGCGCCTGAGCTGCAGTGTCCTCCCTGCCGCCCCGTCCCTCCTCGAGCCCTGCCGCAGGCCCCACAAGCCCGCACACCACCTCCTTCTCTCAGTGCAGCAGGACTCCTGAATATGCTGATGCTGATCGACAGTGACGCTGTGCTCTCCTGAAGGATTTTTTTTCTGTTTCAGTAATCACCTTACTACCACAGGGAAGCCTGAGTGGGCAATGAGAAAGCCACTGTCCCTTGTGACAGAACAACCGTGCTTCATTCCACAGAAGAACAAGACAAAAGCCCCTTCATGTTGGCTCAGACTAATCTGTCTCCTTTGTTCTTAGAACATTACAAGCAAGACATTAAATTATAAATGGGCAAGGCCAGTTAATAAATTACAAAATAATACAAATACTTTAAGTTGTGATGTGTCAACAAACTTTCAATTTTTACTATTCATTAGGGTTTAGGCTTCAGATTAGACAAAAAGCTTGGTTGCTTTTGTGATGTAAATAAAGGTGCAAAAAAAGAGAAAGATGTCTAGGTAACTGACTTCACAAAAAATTGCTTAAATCAAAAAAACGATAACTAAGTCTTTACCAGATTAATGTTTTAAACTATTGGCACCACCTACAGTAAATAGAACCTTTGTAAATAGTCCTGCTTCTTTATACATACATTAAAATGATAATGAGTTACTATTCAGAAGTTTTATGCTGAAAATGAATGTAGAGAGCACTATTCATGTCCATACTGTGATTCCTACACCACTCACCTCCCCCAACTTATTAAGAAATCAGACCAGCACATTGACTTTGTGAATTTCTTTTGGCTAGTTCTTTCCAAATATTGGAAGCATATAAAATATCGTCTATGCAAAAAAAGATTGGGCCTGATTCAGTGACGTGCTCTAGAGCCTGGGGGAGATAGCTCCACAGCATAAGTGCCTGCCTGGCAAGCACAAGGTCCTCAGTTCAATCTCTGGTAC